CGAGGTCTGTTCTGAGTGGAACCTGTCCTGTTAAACCGCTGTATGGTCTTGGCCACCGTGCTGCAGCTCAGTTTCAGGGTCTTGTTTATTTTATTTATTTAGTCATTTAGCAGACGCTTTTATCCAACGCGACTAACAAATGAGGACAATGAAAGCAGTCAAAACTAACAAAAGAGCAACAATATATAAGCCGATCTGTAGTTCTCTAAAAGAGTTGGGTTTCTTAAGTAGTGGGGTTATACGAGCCTGTTTAAATGTTGAGGGAAAAACACCAGTGTGAAGAGATGTGTTAACGATGTGAGTGAGTGCAGGTACAACGGCAGGAGAAATGGCTTGAAGGAGATGAGATGGAATAGGATCAAGCGGACAAGTAGAAGGGTGATTGGAAAGGATGACTTCTGCCTCAGAGAGTGGTTTTGGCAATCTTCTTATAGCCTACGCCATCTTTATGTAGAGTTCTTTGCAATGAGGTGCCATGTTGAACTTCCAGTGACCAGTATGAGAGAGTGAGAGCGATAACACCAAATTTAACACACCTGAGACCTTGTAACACTAATGAGTCACATGACACCGGGGAGAGAAAATGGCTAATTGGGCCCAATTTGGACATTTTCACTTAGGGGTGTGCTCACTTTTGTGGCCAGCGGTTTAGACATTAATGGCTGTGTGTTGAGTTATTTTGAGGGGACAGCAAATCTACACTGTTATACAAGCTGTACACTCACTACTTTACATTGTAGCAAAGTGTCATTTCTTCAGTGTTGTCACATGAAAAGATATAATAAAATATTTACAAAAATGTGAGGGGTGTACTCACTTCTGTGAGATACTGTATATATATTTTTTAATAATTCCAGTCTCCCTCGAGAACTCCGGTCTGACGCACGTGGGTTCTCGCATTATTTCCTTATCACTTCTCGCATGTGTTTTGTTGTGAAACGTAGTTTGCGGACCAGACAGAGCTGTCAGCGATTCTTCCTATTGTGAAGTCATGCAATGAGAAACCCCCTGTCGCCGATCCATCGTGCAATGTGAACACAGCAGCAACTGAATGCTACCTCAGATAGTCACGCAGTGTGAAAACAACAGCGATCCGACGAGTTGGAAATCGTGCAGTGTGAACTCGACATAAGGGTGCTTTCACACTAGCACATTTGGTGTGCACCCGGGTTCGGTTGACGTCAGAGTTCCGGTACGTTTGGATGAAAAAAAATGGATGTTTGGATGGAAAAAAACAATTATGTGAACGCGGTCTTCCGAACTTGGGTGCGCACCCGCGAACCGTACCCGAGTCCGCTTAAAAGGGGTGGTCTGGGGTACGGTTAAAGTGAACTCCGGAAAGGTTCTCTGCTGATGTGAATGCAATCGTACCAAATCGCGAACGTGAACCGCTATTAATGATGTATTACCGGTATTTGATTAAAAAAAGCGTGTTTTTGTGTGTTTCACTCACTTTCCTGAAGAGCGTAACGTTAACTGACATGCTGCAAGCAGAGAGAGCAATACATTTCATTTCTGTTCGCCTTCAGCTTTTTTAGAGCATTTGCGGTACATTCGTAAGACAGACGTAAGTGCCGTTATGTACTGAAGTTTTGGAAACAAAACAAATGATTCAAAAACATAAATGTAAAATTGAAGAGAGCTATGCTATGCATTTTGCTGCCTTCTCCTGCGCAGTCGTTACTAAGCAACGGGGTAAGCAGCTGCTGGCTTGATGACTCAAACGAACTGCGTTGGGACCCAAACATTAGGCTCGTTTGAGATGAGCAAAATCTGCACAGCTCTGATGTCATGCTGACGTGTGCCAAAAAAATCATGACGGCAAGGCAGCGGTGTAGGATTTTGCAGTCGAACGCAGTTGCTCTCCACCGACTGCGCTGATCAAAAGCATGATGGTAGTGATGTTACATATGACACTGAAGCTTCAAAGCACGTATCAGGTAAGCAGCGCAATTTCTCATGAAGCTCTGTGCCGGAGCGCCTATTGTTTTCAGAGAATCACGTGATCAGCAGAAAATGAAGCCTCACTATCTGTCCAATCACGTGCGCGTGTCAGAATGTTCGAAACCCCAGATCTTACTTTACGAGTAAGTTTTCATTCAGACTTATTCAATTACATTTTTAAATACCCAGCCATACAAGTAATATGAAGAATAAAAACTAGTTCAGGAAAAAAAGATATTTGGCATATGCAATTCATGTGTGTACATTATTCTTCTATTACATCATATTGATATTCTTGTTGGCATTTAATGCCACAGTTTAATGGGTAAATTATTTTATCAGAGAGAGAATTTTAACAAACACACACACACTATTTTCACAGGCTTTTGGCTGCTATATTTTTTATTGACCACCAGATTTTTGACACTCGCGAAGCTTTGAATCTTTTCCCGAAACAGTCAGAGGAAAGCCTCAGTGCTTCATGAGGCTTCATTTGCCCATCACTACATGATGGGAAACGACTGACTGACGACACAGCTTAATGCTCATTGCATTGGTTCAGACAACTGTGATGCTACTCTTCTAAAATGTTTTATTTTTTTATGGGGTTCCATGTGATTATGTATTTAAATTATGCATGAATATTCCAAACACTATGACAGTGCGATCTCTGTGTGAGATATGTGATTGTTGTCATATTTCTATAAAAATCTAAAATACATGTTTCTATTAAAGTAAAAATGGATGATAAATACACCTTTCGTATGGAATTAAATAGCAAGCACTTTGAGTGC